GAACGGTACGAACGATGCATGGACCTGTTCGCTGCACCGCGGATACGAAAGATGAGGGTTCGTCATCTTTGTCACACGCACCAGTGAAATAATTAAAATCTGCTTCAGCTCAGTGTTGATCCAAGCGATTTGTTGCCGAAGTTGCCCAAAGCTAGCGACCTGCAGCCGTTCCCAAGCGAATTTATCTTGGTAAACATAATCATATTTCGTCGTTGTTGTGCGTTTTGTGTTTGTGCGGCAATTTTCAATGAATATTTGTCGTTATGAAACAGTGTAACGAATAGTGAGTATCTTCTTCCATGCTTTGTTAACGAGAGCTTAGAAGATGGTTAACAGTTTTGCACTGCTTTTCTCAGACTTGTGCGCTTCGACAACGGCGTCTGTTGTTCATTTCTGTCTATTTCTTCGTATGCTGGATTGTCCCATAATTCTAGTGTTTGCGATCGTCGCCCATTGTTCAGAAAGCGGATGACATGATGAAAGATTCCACCCTGCTTTTTGCGAGAATTCGTATGAGGCGAACTCTGCTTCGTCATACGGGTCCATAGTTTGAGTTGTTCGTTAGATGACCGGTACCGGGCTCATGCAATCTTTTACAGCAGCAGATATCTTCTAGTAGCCAATACGATAATCTACAGTTTCGCGCATTGTTCGTTCGCATACGTCGCATCTCTCCAGTCTTTACGTTGTTTGTTCGACAAATGATGGTGTTTTGTCTTCATTCGCTGTTGTCAGCCATCCAATATCGTCTAGGTTATTCAGTCTATTGTCAGCGGTCGTCTATATTCAGTTCAGGGACGAGCCGGCACAGCAAAGAGACTTTTATTTGCTCTCATTGGAGACCTGCAGGCGTCGGATAACCTTGACTAATTCCTTACAGGGCCCTTGTTAGCATGTCATTTTTCTGTTTAATTACCGTATGCGCATCGTTACCTGACTTATGATTTATGACAAGCATTTAAAATGACAATTATCTTTTATAAAAACGGACGACGACGTCATGAGCATTGCGCGTTGTATATCTTGCTGCATTTTCTCACTCTTCATCCACTTTTGCCCAAGATTGATGATCTTTTGTCCATATTTGCTAAATTCATTCACCCACAATTGTTTCGGTTAGCATATCTGTTTTCGTGCTCAATTCAGAGAGTAGACGCCGTGATGAAGAGATGTCGCCATACTTTTTCTCCAACCTTTATCTTGAAGGATAAGCTTTTAATTCTTACGTTCTGATGTATAGTCAGTCTGTCGTCTTCTAAACAGTCGACCTTTAAGGATAAAGAGCTCTCTCAATTCTTAGAACCGTTGTCACGCTAACCAGCATCCCCGGGTTCATCGCTGCAACGAAGTAGCGGTTCATCACACGTCGCTTTGCCATGTGGTTATCCGCTTTCTGCATTGTGGGGTTGCTCCGGTGGACTTGACTTTCTAGAAAGCATTGTCCTGTGCCCTTCTTTGTTTTAAAGTTAGTAGATTAGAACAGTTATAACGTGAACTACCATAATCTGGAAGAGTGCCCCATCTTCAGGTTGCGAACCTGAATTTTGATTTTGAACGATTTGTAAAACGCTTATGAAAAAGTGACTAACATTTGCTTCAAGTTTTCTTTGAAGGCGACTGGTGGCTGAAAGTAACTGATGCATGCTTGAGTGTTATTACACGTAATAGGATTGAATCGCCCGATTCTTTGTTGTATATACGTAGAAGCATTGTGGTGCCAATGCTGTGGTGCCGCAGCACGGTGCCAATACTGACTATAGTATATTTCCGGTAGTTAATTTTGAACGTGTCAATCATGGTTTGCACGCTCTTTCGTTTAACCGGTCTTTTAAACTTTGAGGTATACCGTGGTCATACAAAAATGGTGCGAGCAGTTACCGTTGATCCAAGCGGACAATTCGTTGCATCAGGAAGTGATGATGAAACAGTCAGGATTTGGGAGGTTGTCACTGGCCGCTGTTTGCGAGTCTTCCACGTGAAGGGTACTATCAATTCAATGGCATGGTGTCCTAACGTCAAGCTCACCCTAATCGTTTTGGCAGTGTTTGTTAGAGTGCATACCGTATTATATGACAGTGATTGATTGTTGCAGGAATCAGGAGGTACTGATTGCCAACGCGGGTGTCGGCGACCGACTGTTACAGTCTGAAACAGATTCTTTCCTCGAAAGCGTATATTCGTTCTCACAGAACAGTTCCAGCGGTTAGTAATTGGTAGCTCCGCAATTGACAGCCGTTCTAAATTTAATCGTTGCGGCAGATTCATCTACTACGTCGTGGAGGCAGTGCACTGACAGCGAATACAAGGAAGGGCTGAGGCTGAAGATGGCGCATAAAAAGGTATTCATTGTGACGTTTTGTCAACTTAGGTCCGTTTAGGGTTGTTTAGTCGATTAAGCGTCAGTCGAGAATCCTGAGTTCGTCATCACAGTTACGAGTTCTGGATTCGAACTCCAGTCGGGTCATTCGCCCTCAACCCTACTGATATAGATACGTGAGTACCACATTGTGGGTAGAAAACAGAATACTCCACGCTGCTTGATGACATAGATATAGAGATTAGTGTCGCACGATAAACCTCAGAAAAGAAAGGTATTAAAAAATTGGCGCCCAGACATGACAGTCTGGCATTTCAGCGGTTGCAGCTTTTCTTCGTTAAGGCCAAGTTAGGTGTAGCAGAGCCTTTTTTAAACTATTTACTTTTTTTTCAGAAAATGACCTAGGAGCGTAAGACTATTGCTGTTTCTAATATTTTAGCAAAGCAAATTAACTTTGCTTTGAGTCCAAATAAAAAGTTAAAATCTTCTCAGCGATTTATGTGCGCGATTTAACTTGTTTGCAAATTTTAACTGACGTATTGCAATCCGTTTGCTTGGTCGAAATACGTTTGAAATTTGTCGTTCAGAACGTAAAGCAGGTCACTTGGCACGCAAAAGGCGACTATTTCGCAGCCGTGATGCCTGATGGCGGCAGCAGTTCGGTTGTTGTTCATCAGTTGTCGAAGCTAAAGTTTCAGGTTGTCAATGTTTCTTTGTTTCTTCGCTTTTATCACAGGGCGTTTCAGTATCCTTTCTCGAAAAATAAAGGATTTGTCCAGAAGATTATCTTTCATCCGTTACGTCCGTACTTTTTCGTTGCTGTAAGTTTTCTTGGTGCATCATTCATGTTACATTTGTGCTGCTATGTGGTTCTTGCTTTAGACCCAGCGGCATATTCGTATTTACAATCTTGTCAAGCAGCAAATGATAAAGAAACTGGTGGCAAACTGCAAATGGATTTCATCCATGGCTTTGCATCCTAAAGGTAAATTGATTGCTGTTCAATGGTATTTTTATTTTTCTTCAAATTTTGAAAGCATTTATTGAGCACTAGTTTGTGTTTCCCTATGTTTGACCCGCCATTCCTGTCAAGCTTGATATATTAGAGAATGATGTAATTCACTCTTCATATTCTGTTAACGAAACAGCTCAGCCATACGTTGAAAAGGTATGCCTTGTTTTGGAAACTGTGAAACAAATTCGTTACCTCGTTGAAGTCTTTACAAATTTAGGTAAACGGTAACATCGACGATAAATGCTATATTAAACAGCCACTCTAATTTCTGAATTTTTGAACTTCTTTTTCTTTGTGATTAAGATAATTGATTGTGATCATCATCGTCATCATAATCAACGACTTGTGCAGTGTACTCCCACTACTTCACCGTCAAATTTTACTCAGTCGGGTATTACGAGAGGTTTGGAGGCCACCGTTTGTAGTGACTCCCGAGAAGAGCGTTGAGATGCAGCCATTTCATTCTACCGTCTCCCCTGCCGGAAAGAATATCACTTCTTTTCTTGGTTATTAGCAGTTCTTGGAACTTTAGCAGTTTGATTTCTGAATCGCTTTCTAGTTAGAAAAATGTTGCTCGAATCATTTATGCGCATAATAATTCTTAATCTATAACAAGTTTACTCAAGTTTCACAAGAAACGGTCTTTTATACAGAAAAAATCTTATCAAAAGCTAAAGCTAAAGGGATTAAACGGTTTTTTAGTAAGACGATTTGTAAGACAGGCTTTGCTGTCGATTCAGATATTGCTTCGTAACACAAGATTTTAGTGATATCATGTCGTCGGGAGAGGACAGGCGAACGACGTTCGAAGACTGATTTAATATATCGATGATTCGCTTGCTTGTTCCCCTTCTTGAACTTAAGTTGTTACTTAACGTCAGAGCACTTATACAACAGGAACACATATACTTTTCCACTCCGCTAAGAACAGAACCACGTCTTCGCCATCGCTTTTGTTGGCGTCCAAATGCTCAGACTTCGAATACTGCTAGTAGTTTTTCTTTAAGGTGACAACATCATAATTGGAAGTTACGATTGTCGGATAAACTGGTTCGATCTCGATCTCAGTGCAACTCCATACAAAACATTTTGGTAAGTTGTTTTTCTTGAATTTAGGCTCATGATTTTTGTTGACAGTTTCTTTACTTTGATGCTTTTTATAAACCATTTATATGAAATTTTACAGGAAAGCTGGTTTTCTTTCTGATTCGCTCAAGAATTCGTTTTAGGAACTTATATTTTGCTCTCATAATAAAGCCATTCTGAAAATTCACGTTTTGTAGTATTATGATCTGGTTGTCAGTTGGTCTTTCCAGGATACATATAGACTGGTATTAATATAGATAGTAAGCAGGTGGTAGATAGACCGATACCAGGTGTAGTCTAGATATCTGGTATTTGATATTTCTTTTAGTCTGCTTTCATGTGATTTATCAGCGTCCATCTTGCAGCTTCTTCCGTTGGCAGTTTGACAGCATGCCCAAAATATCATAGTTACAATCACTTAGTTTGAGAAACAGACGGCCGACAATCAAAGAAATCTTGTAATGCTGTGTTTTGAACCTTTCTGGGCTTCATCATGTCGGTTATTGAAGGAATCAGTTGACAACCAGGCACTTTCGATACTCCTGATCACTGATTAGAATGTTTTTGCATCCATACTTCTAAAACGTTTAACAATTACGAAAGATGATGTCCCATCGCATTATACCGCGTTTTGTTCATGGAACCAATAAGGCAGCTTTGACTCTTCGATATTTGCGCACCTGCAATATATATGCATTTCGCATTCACTAGAATAATACCCTGCTCGTCATCAGTAATGTTTCATGAAGGCTCTTAATCCCTTTTCCAAGAAATCGTAAATGAGGGTTCGTACATCGATTATGTTAACTGACGCTTAATTCCTCAAAAAACGAAGGTAACCCTCGTCTAACGCTGCATGTGCCCAAACATGACGGAGTTAGATATACTATTTGTATTCCCTGTTTCTAAAAGTAAGCGGTCTGTGCACTTGACCGTGAAATTCGGTTTTGGCGAAGTTAAGTGCTTATTAACCTACTACGCTGTACAAATCCATAATAGCAATGTTTTGCAAAAGCAGATTTGAAGATAGGCAGCTTCACACTTCTGATTACTCATTCATCGTCACAGTCCGGTTTAACTTGTGAACTGCATTGCTTATCTGTTGGCTTATTTCTAATCCTTACCCGCAGGTAGTCGTGAATTTCATCCCACCTATTGTGATTACCGATATTTTGTTTTTAGCTTTCATTCGGCAGCTGTCAGATCTGTCGCGTTTCATAATCGTTATCCTCTGTTTGCTTCTGTTTCTGATGATGGTACGGCGACCATCTGTCATGGCATGGTTTACAAGTACTGTTTGGCACGAAATGTACTGTTCCATTTGTGATGAAATCTGTTTAGCGACCTTATGCTAAATCCGCTAATTGTTCCCGTTAAAGTTTTGCGCGGCCACAAGGTTGTTAACAATTTTGGAATACTTGATTGCGCATTTCACCCAGTTCAGCCGTGGCTGTTTACCTGCGGTGCCGACGGTACGGTTCGACTATATGCATGAAAGTTCCAGTGTTTCAAAGCTGATGGTTTGAAAACGTCTGTTTTATTTGTTTTACAGGAATAAAGCAAACTTCCTTGCCTCCAGTACTGAATTCTTCCAGCTGTTACCCATTTTCTGAGGTATTAGGTTGGTCAACTTGCTCTTATTATAGTAGCAACAGCTTTATGTTGTTATGCGTCTTCCGCGCTTTGAGGTAGAGAAACGATTACCGTTTCGTATGGAAAAGAAACTCTCGACTGTATGCTGTAATGACTTATGCGCATAGATATTGCCATTATAAAGTATTCTTGGCTTATGGTTTTGAAACGGAGATAAGAAAGTTTCACTTATGTGATGTCTGCATCGAAATATGAGGGAAATATACAGCCTAACACTATATGTTTTTATTTCTTCGTTTTTCTATGGCAATAAAGTTGTAGCCAACTGTAGGTCAGATCGAATGGTAGTTTAGATTAGACTTGAACGAATTTTCGCAGTACCTGTCGGTGACTGATAATATTGTTTATACAGTTATTGAGAAATGATTGTTTTTATTAATGCCGTCAGCCATGGAGCTGTCCATGTCAACAACGTCTAGTCTTCGTTAACAACAACACGTGTATGATCTAATGCAGTTCATATAGTACTACAAACTTTAGCGCCGGTTCTCAAATACCAGTGGCAGGGACACAAAGCTTTATTCCTCGATAGTTGCGCCATGTGGTCTGCCGGTCAGATTGTTATTCTGCATTCGTGTGGATGACACGGCCGGAGTTGAGAAGCTACTGTACCTTCCTCGTGAGTCTTTTACTGCGCAGCATTTTTCGTCAAGCTTCTGTGTTTCTTTTAACTTATGATGTCCAAGGTAAAATCTGCATTGGTAAAAGCACTAAAGCACTTGTCAGGAATGTCTGGGATCACCAGAACTATATATGACCCTGTCAGTGGTGATATGAAACGATAGTAAATCTCTTCGAGCTTGCAATATAATGTTGCATTATTGCCAAGCATTGAAGCAAATCTTGAAGGCAATAAACGACATGCTTAATTGAACATATCTTTGCCATTTTTGTATAAAATCTCGTTGTATTGAAATATTTCATTTCGTCTGTTGTGTTATCATTGGACGGGTGTGGTGTTTGTCATGTTTGGGATGCAGTTAGCAAGACACATTCAAATTATGTAAAACAGCCGTAATCCTTTTATGGTTATGCATTAAAACTTTTACAGATTGGCAAAATTATTGCTCATGCTGACTGAACTGATTCTTGTAGATACCTACGTACGAAAATGCAAAATATACAGGACAATACAAAACCGGGAAAAACAGCGTTGAGACAGACCATCTGGCGATTGTAAATATGATGTTTCCCGCGGCAGTTACGTTGCCTAATATAAATCTGCGATACTGCTTCTTAAGGTCAGACAGATCTGGGCTACTCTGCTGTTTAGGCCTTCCTACCCTTTGACTGTGACGACGCGACAACATACAAAAACATGTTCAGTACAACGGTGATACAATGGCCATTTGCTCATTAACTTTCAATTCTCATTATTGCTTCTGGTCGCAGCTCCATCAATGCGAGTCCCAAGCCTGAATAAGAAAGCAGCTAGGTTGAGGACCGCGAAACGGGCAAATAACCCTTATGCTATTGCCGGTATAGGCCGCCGGTTACCGAGTCTGTCATCGTTTCTTTACGAAGCGCCACACGGCCTACTAGAAAACTGACACAGACTGCGAAAAGTCGGTGATCAGAAGTTGCTTCACGCCTTCTGGCAGTTGGGGTGTTGGAATACTGCGACGGATGTCGAAAATCGACTAGAAGACGATGAAGGTGCTAGATAGCAACCGCGCTGCTACCTGTTCTGAACGGATGAGACGAGGGCGCAACAACATTACACTCTGCCCGAAAAGTTTCAAGCTAATTCCAGCAGTGACAGCTCAGTGTTGGAAATCAGAGCAACTCCTCATTCAGAAAAAGGAACAGGAGACAGTTGAGGAAACCGCAAGGTATCGTCTGGACATAACTAAACTCTCGTTAACGAAGCGATTGGGTTTTGGAATTCTGCGTCTTTGCAGGTGGAAGCTATTCTACTCACTTCTACCCCATATCACGATGCGCCCTCAGTCTGGTGTTGATGTTCTAGTAGAACCCAACCTGGCTAACATAATCATTGAATGGAAGCCTGTTAGTCGAAGAGTGGCAGTCATCTGGCTGAGGCGAGGTGAAAGGTTTTGCCTTGTTACAAGTTTATGCAATCAATTCAGAGTCCTTCCTGGAGGAAGTAAAAGTTGTTCGGTATGAAGGGCCGACTTCGAAATCCTTCATTCTGATGGAGGATTTCAAGGCGCATGTTGCAGACACACTAAAAGGTGTAAAGGCATGATTGGAAAGAACGGCCCTCGCTGCCTAAACAATAACATCATGAAGTAGTTGGGTTTTGTGCAAACGATGGACTGTCTATTAAATATATATTCTTTTGGCATCGAAACTTTCATCTGTGTTCCTGGTACAGTATAGCTTCTGCACAGAAGTCGATGATGGAGTTGATAATTGTATCGTTACGATGCTATGTCATTGGTGTTCGCCCTAAGAGAAGGTCAGAGTTGTCAATCGATCATGACCTTGTTGTTAGCACCTTCCACCGAAAGCGGTGGGATGCCGTATGAAAACCCGACGAAAGAGACAACCGGAGTACCAAATGTCTTCTTCATCTTCCATGACCGCTTCTCTTTTCAGTTTGCGGAGGCAGACGAGTCAGACAGGTGCTTCCAACGTTCCCGATCCTGTGCCAGAGTCGGAACTTCGGCAGAAGACAACTGAAGTCTGGAGCAGACTGTTTCCACAAATTTGCACCAGGTTAATCTTTGCCGTGCACCGGGGCTTCTGCCGGTCGGCGGGGCAAGAAGTAGTTGCTTCGCTTTCCTTTCTGAAGGCATTTGCAAATCATGCCCAAACCATCGCATATATGACTTCTCAGTATGAAGAAGCAGCGACTGTCTAACAAGGCTCTCGCGGATATCTGTATTCCTGACCATGTCGAAAGGCGTAAGGTCGGCGACTCGTCACAGAAAGCCCAGTTCAGCCGATTATCCCCGGGATCGAAACTTTTTAACCATGATCGACGGCTCATGACCGTAAGTAGGCATGGGGATGAAGATCGACTTGATTATGGAGCGCTTAGTCTTCAGACTCAGCTTTGCTTTAGTCATAATGGTTCGGGATAGTTCACGCAGAACGCCACTGGCTACACCAATTTGCCGGTCGATCTCTTCCTCCAACTTTCCATCGT